AAACATTCTCCGAATAGCGTTTGCAAATGGCTAAATAAGAAGATTTCCATTCATTCTGATATGCATCTTCTGAGATCATTGCAACATAATGACAACACTGTCACTGTGTACTATCATTTTGTGAAGCACTATCGTCATTTTAGTTTCATTATCGATATGATAAATTTATCCCTCCCGTCAGCAACATTACCACTTTTGATAGCATTGTGACGATAAAATAATCTATACTGTAATCACAATTCGACTTAAAATTTACCGAGCGCAATCAATAATTCTAATGGATTTTTACGGGATGCTGTCGTTGTCATATTCGGAGCCTGACGAGGAATTATTGATCCACCTGAAATAAACAGTAATAATATATCCGAGATTGAATACCTCATCATGCGATAGCAACACAGAAGAGAAAGTTAGATCATTTGCAACAGAAGTAATCTGAAAGTGTAAGTGAGAGTACTCGCAGACTCTTTGTAGGTGAACAGACAGAGCAACAGTTTTAGTATTAGGAGAGCACTTGCAATAGCTGAAGACCTTTTATGAAAACTGGAATCATTTTCCAGGGTGGAGCGTCGAAGAACTGGAATCCACTGTTGACTCTCATACATCTCATGTCACCAGTCATATGATACCAAACAGCTTCATGTGGCAAATATCCGTAAACATTTACTGCGTGCTCAAAGAAAAAATATTATTGAAACGCTCGAGGAAAACCGGCGAATTTAATGAATTAATATTGGAGTTTGCGATATCGTACGGTTCTGTCATCAACAGTTTGATGGAACTTTCATACTGATAACAGAACCATAGTGATAGGTTTCAGTAAATGGTTAAAAACATGACATGTGATGATGCTATTGCTTAAAGATGAAGGTATTACACTTTATCCCACTCTTTTCTCCGCCTTCTGCTCGAATTCTGGTTGATTCATTAACCAAATGTTCGTTTTAATTGCGGATCAACCAAACATTTCTTATTTTATCTTTTCTGAGATTCAGATTCAAGAGTGCTGTAAAACAGCACATTCAATAATCAAATCGAAAACACTAAAAAATGATGAAAAAGCATTACCGGTANAACTCTCGATCGCTTTCGTAAGCCGCATCATCATTGGGAAATTCGAAGAAAATTGGGCGAATCACAGTACCGCCGGATCGAGATGCTTCGAAGTGCAACCTGCAGAATACTTTCGCTTTCAAACAATCGCAATCTTGATCAAATATTCACATCCTATCGCAGAAGTACGTTTCAGTATGCTATAAACTTATCGCTTCAAAGGAAAACATCAAATTCATCGAGTACGTAATCTGGATTCAACTGAAAACCATCACAGCAACTGATTTTTAAGAGTTGATCTTGATGACTATCAGAACTGATCATGGATACTATGAGAACTGATAATGAATTGTCTAATCCATATGATAGAATGAATACTTACAGATAAAGATATGGCAAGTACTCATATCTGAACAAATTCGCTTCACGAGTAGCTTCTTGAACGCTAGGCCACATAGTGGGATGTTGTGGCAGTGCGCCTTTGTTATTATGATTTCTGAAATTTGGGTACATTCGTTTGAACAATTCGATCGAGACGATCGTCGTATGTTGCTTTTAGAAGAAACATTTTATCGAGGCATATTTTCAAGAACATCAGTTTTCGAGTAGTTCTTTGCGAATTGCGAGTATGATCCAAACGAGTATGAATAATTAAAATTGCTCAAACTCGCAATTCGGATCCAAGTATGATCCGAATTGCGAGTTTGAGCAATTTTAATTATTCACTGCCGGAGTTCAGCTCCTGGAATATATTAAACTGTCAAGTCAGTAATAAAGTCCGACCTTGAAAATGGATAGAAAGCTCCAAGCTGTTGCCAGCGAAGACACAACTCTTCCGTGGTGTCGTCAAGAAAACCACAAATATCAGCTCCAATATATGGAACACCAAAAATATTGAATTCTTGAATACCGATGACAGACGTTATAAGATCATACCAAGTCGCCGAGTTATCACCAAGCCAATGACCAGCATAGTGTCCCGCTGATGGATATGAGGATCTGAAATAATTTGCTCATACGGAATAGACCATTACAACTTGTGATTCAGTGTCCTGGTAATAGATTCATTGTGTTAATGCATATCATTGAACAATCAGTATAACAATACAACTGCAATGACCATCGCTCGCATAAGAATGTTCTGATAGTGAGCATTGAGAATTTTCAGTAAATTCATGACGGAACAGTTCTTCATATATTCTTTTCGGTGATTGATCGGTTTACCAGGCAACTCCAGGTGATACATTCAGACCAACAGGATATCATTACGGCACTTAAACATTTGATTGCGAGTCGAATGGAGAGTAAAAATGGTCAGTCGAATCACTGAAGAGGTGTTCTGACCTGGTTATGACAGCACCACGCTTGGAGGTTGC